TTGATATATACCAATCGGCTATAAGTATGCCAATCAGCTATAAATAAGATAGGTCGAATTTTGGCTGATTCTTGGCCAATTTCTGATGTATGCCAATTGGCTAGGCTGATTTTTGATAATTTGCCAAATTTAGGCTGATTTTAGACTGATTTTCGCATGTCTGATTTTTTTGATTTCGACCAGTGTTAATTAATTATATTTTTACTATAATTTAAATTTAACTAAATAGTTTATTTAATAATATAGATTGTAAATTATTTTTATTAATTATCAGTATTTAATTATACATTTTATTATAATTTAAACTTAATTAAATTTTATTTAAAAAAAAACAAATTTTATTAGAATATAAATTATTTTTATTAATTATCAGTATTTTATTTTTCTAAAATTGTAAGTATAAAATTTTTATAAAATAATTTAAATACTTGAAATATTTTGATATCTAATAATTATAATAAAATAAAATAAAATTTATTAGATTTGACATATTAAAATACATTTAATAATAATATTTTAAATTTTTAAAATTAATAATTATTAATATATATCAATTTTTCAATCTTTAATTTTTAAAAAATAACATTTTATATAATAATTATTTAAAAATAAAATTCATTTTATTGGATTTATTTCATTAAGACTTATTAAATGATAATATTTTTATATTTTTAAGATTAATAGATAATAAGATATATGAATTTAAAATTTTAATTTTTTTTTAATAATTTATCATTTATTTATCTTTAAAAACCATTAATTAATTACATTTTTTTTATATTAGTTTAGAATACATTATAAAATTTATTATAAAAATATTAATTTTTAATAAAATAGCAATTTTTATTTGTAAATGGATATATTATATATAGGTTATATAATATGACTAGTATTAACATTATTTTTATTAGAATTAAAAATTAAGAAATTAGCTATATTACAAATAGAGTGTGATAAATAATAATTTTTCACTGAAAAAATTCTCTGTTTCTGAAATAAATAGTAAAAGCTAAAGATGGAAGGATTATAATACTAGTGATAAATATATTTGTCATGTAATCTGAATACATACATCCTGTGTAAACTTAGAAAGTTTTCTTAAATTTAAACTAATAAATTAAAATAAAAATTAAATGAGTTACAATCTATTTATTAAATATTTTAAAGAAACATAAATAAAATTTATTACTATTAATTCTTTCAATATAGGAGCATCAAAAGAAGTATCTGAAACTGGTTATATTATAATGTATTTTTTTTTGATATTAATTACAAAATTTTAATATTTAGACAATTTTAAATGTACTTTACCATTTAATCTTTCTAATTTGAATAAATATTAAATATAATTAATATATTATAATATTTTAATACAATTTCAATTTATTAAATTTCTTAGTAAATAATGATTATTATTATATTCACCTTTATTATTCAAGATTAATTCCACATCAAATTCTTATAGTATTAATAATCATTTATATTAATTGTTGTATTAATCTTCAATAATTAAAACTGATTCTATATTTAAAATTAAATTTTTAGTAAATTTAAACAAAAATTGAGTATAATTTATAGATTATAATATTTGTTGATTAATTATGTTTGCTATTGTATTTACTTTCATCACCCGAAACTTGTTCTATATTTCAAACATAATATAGTTTATATTATATTTACCTTCATAACTTGTAACTGGTTCTATGTTCAAATTTAATTTATAGTGACCTTCTATTTCTTCTCTGAAACTGGCTCTAATGTGTAACTTAGGTTTTTTTTTTAAAAAAAGTTTTTAAATAATTTTTATTTTCAAAATGTCCGATCGTTTTCAACGATCTTACCGCTACTCGTCATAAAGTTCATACGGCGTCATAAGTTGGTGTAAACGCTTTTTTTTTTTTTTTTGCTTTTAGTGATAAAACAACGAAATTTTACGGATCCGCATGTTATTTTCCTGTTACTCGTTGATAGAAAGAAAACAAATCCATTAACTTCGTCACTGTTTTTTACTTCGGCAACGATTGTGGGGGTTTTATTTTGATATAAATTTATTTTTATCGTTCTAGGTATTTTTTTTTTTTGATTCTACTTTACGATTTTTACGGCTGCGACAAATATTGGATGTTAAAGATGGGACGTTTGCAATATAAGGGGGAAACTGTGCGGAAAAATAAATAATGAGTCTCTCGACCCGAAAATCATAATTGGCATATAAAAGTATAATTGATTTTTCTGGCAGTTTCCCCCCATCTATTGCAAAGGTCCCATATGTATTACAAAAACGAAGGCGATATTTTATAATTGTGATTAATTAACAAAGTTATAAATTAACGAATAAAGATGCACAAGATTTAGAAAACCTATTATTACTGCCCGCAATGCGGTAATTATTGAACTTGATTTACAATGCATAGTAACTATTTGAATTACCCAGTAGCGAAAATAGATAAAACTTCCATTTATTACTTTGGAAATAAATATGCGGGGTCTGTCCTTGTCACTATTTGATTTTTTTTTACTTGAGTTTATATCTAAAATATAATTTGTATATATACTTTTTTTTGTATGAAGACATAAAAATGCTAAATCTGTGGAAGCTTACATCTTGAATGGTTCAAAATATGAAGAAGCGAAATGCAATTGTGTTATTACGTACAGTATCACCATTTTTTACTAAGTAATCTGGGAACTTAGATAATTTTATATACTAAAAATTAGACTATATGATAAATACTAGCAAACGTCATTTTTAAAAAAAATGGTAAATTTTCTCCGAATTTCCAATAATACATTATAAAATTGGTTTTATTTTTTCTGGTGTAAAAATTAATTTAAATTAAGATAATTTTTGTTGTATTGTACACAGAGTATATCAACCTTAACGTCGAGCAAAAAATAATCTCAGACATCATCTGGAAAAAACTTCAAGGATTTGGGACCTTTGCAATAGGAAAGGAGGAAACGGCTTGAAAAAATAAAAAATGAGTTAATACTAATTCTGAACTTATTTTGACATAAATATCATATTTGGCATATATATGTAAAATTGAATTTTTCCGGCAGTTTCCCCTTTCTATTGTAAAGGTCCCATTTAATTACTTATCATGCAGTATAGTCACATGTAATTTCAATCATGTGATTATACGAAATTTCGAATTTATATTTGATTTCTAGAAAATAGAAAAACATTTCTTTTTTTTTTCAGATTCGCAAAAAATGGGTAAACGTAGAGCCGCTTCAAAAAGATACAAAGATTTATTACGAAGAGCAATTTATAAGATAAGAAAACAAGAAAGAGAAATAGCGAGAAAATGTTCTGACGGTAAGTTCTAATACAGGTTACAGAGCGTGTACGATGTGGAAAATCTCTCGTCCGCTGTCCATAGATACTCGCTTACTTAGTTTTCGCAATCCCGTTCACAACGTTTCCTTTAATCTACCGGAAAAGATTTTAATAATATAGGAGAAAAAAAAATAAATGAAAATAATCCAAGTAAGATTGTTGATAATCGTTCAGGTAATTTAATTTATTTTATATTTTTATATAAAAATTTTTTTTATTATAATCATTTATATTGAGAAAAATCGGTCCTCATATATATAAAAATGGAAAGCTTATTTCATATAAAGGACTTGGACAAAAGGTATGTGAGAAGGTGTCTGTTATCAGTTAGTTATAAATATTTATTTAAATAATAACCTTTTACCTTTTCTCACATACAGAACAGACGAAATGTTGCATTTTTTTTAAAAATTTAATTTTCCTACTTTATCCCATGTGAAAGATCTTGATTTATAAAAATTTGTAAATGATTTCTTTTTTATTATAATGTAGTAAAATAAATTCATAAATTTATTTTAATAATTTTTTCTTTGTATGTGAATAAGTAAAAAAAATTAAACAGTAATAAAAATATATTTGACAATTTCAGTTGAAGTGTAATTTTAATTCCGGCTAAATTGAAAATTTTTTAATTTTTGTTTATTAATAATAGAATTATAATTAATTATAATTGCAAATTGGTTGACTAAAAAGAGTATACTAGAAAGACTCAAACGACAGACTAGTTGACACCAAAAATTGCTGAGACTGGCGCCCTACTAAATATTTAAATCTTAATATTTTGATATTACATATAATGTTTAAGATTATTTACCAAAAAATTAAAGACTTCCGATATAAACACAAAGATAATTATTTAATTATCTTTAATTTAAAAAAATAAAAAAAATAAAATTCACTCTATAGGAATCTAACCACAGTAAAATACGGTTCCGCGTTGTTCTTTGGTTGTTTTGTCCCATTGATTGTTTTTGGAAGAGAGAGAGAGTATTAAGCCAATAAATCACCTTTTTTTTATTTTGATGTTTTAAAAAGAAGCAATATGACCAACGCGTAATATGACGTTAAATTGGTTAATTCACATTTACAGAAAGAATTCGGAAACTTTGTCCGTATTCAATATTATTCACACATTCTATACAATTTTTCCTTGCTTTCATCTAAAGGTTCATCTGCATATTTTATTACTTCTCCGCACAAGCCGACTGAAATTTATTCGTTGGTTATAAAGGACACATAAAATCCTCTGCTCATTTGCTGTAAACAAATTTTATCAATTTAATAACTGATATTAGAGATCGATCTATTGGACCTGTATTCGAAGTCTATATGGTGTCTATCTCCATCTCATTCACAATCAATTTAGACAACTCAAAATTCAGGATTATGAACAACTTTAACTAGAGTTAAGATAATGCCAAGACGCCAAACTCGTCATTGAAATTACCACTCGCTTTAGATCCTTTGGCACATTCTCACATATATTGTAATTTCCGATACATTTAATTATGGCGAAAATAAATATATTTTATGGACCAATTTCCTTTCATGCATCTATCCAACATTGACCCGTACTGAACTTGTGCAGTAATTCCTCGAGTAATATCCGTATATAGTTTCGATTATCACAAGCATGTTGGGTAGTAAATAGATGTATTTACGTTATCCTGTAAAGAAAAAAAAAATACAAATGATGATTAATACATATGTAGTTCGTAGTCAAAACGTTGCAAATAAAGTTTTTTTTACCAATAGTTAAGATTCAGCAAATTATCTCTTGACCTTAATAATTTGGGGTTGGAGATGGGAGGAGAAAGTATTATGTGAGAGACGATTAAAGAGTAAGAAAGAGTAGATTCATCAATTTTTAATCCTACGTGGGATCTGCATAATCCAATTTCTATAATATGCATGAATATATTATAACCCAAATGCGTTAATGTCCGAAATGCGCATTTGGGGCAAGCGAATCTTCGCATTTTGGATATCCCAAATGCGCATTTCAGACATTAACGCGTTTGGGGGTACATTTCGTGCAATATTAACATTACTGATTTATCAAAATTTGAGATTAAAGTGGATAAATACTACTTTTTTGGGTTTATTTCATCCGTAGCTAATATCCACATTCAATGTAAGTGATATACAGTCTGGTGCAAAAGTCTTTGGACGATCAGTGATAAAATTAAAAGTCACATAGATCAGCCAATTTAAATCC